ATTTTAACTAGCACGAGATAATGAATAAGTAACACAAATTGCTCCGCAAATCCTTATTTTTTGAGAACTAGTAAGGTATGCATGCTACGCACGGGACATTATGATTTATTTAACAAAATAGGAATAATTATTAGTTTAATTTGATCAAAGATATTGTTTATACACTCATTAAGAATCAAGTGAAACACACTAAGTATGCTATCTACACAAATGCATATCTATATCTATATAAAAAGACTAGACATTTACTTGAAATAGTATTGTATAAATTTTCACTAAACACTTTTAGTTACTTATACAAGAAATTCTGGAGAATTTTTTTAGCATTGTATATTTTCTCGGAAAAAATATGTATTTTTTGTTTTCTTTTTTTCCCTTTTAGAATTGTATTTTTTTTTTGGAAATAAACTTGCTTTAAAAGCATAAGAAAAATATTTTTTTATTATTATAATAATTATTGGAAGACTACTCAAAATAAATTATATATAATTATTTGACAATATATAAAATAATAATTATAATAATGTGTTATGTGTATGTATAAAAGGAGAATATAATTTATTCTTAAAGCACTTAATTGGTTATAACACCATCTGTGTATCGTTTATAATATTTAGTAACTTATAAATAACATACTACAAAAATATTAATTGATATGCAAAACATGCTGGTATGGTGTCGTTGTGTCGACTGCATAATCAATCAATTCAATTAAATTTAAAAAAAACTATTGTGTTTATTGTGCCAATGAGTTAGGGGAATCTTCAAAATGATTTCAACAGGATTAAAAGTTTGCATCCTTGAAAAATAAGGTCTTTGTCCCGCTCATGTCCTCCCTGAATCAAAAGATCACTAACCCAATGAAGCCAATTTTTATCCCCCTGAAACTTACAAATGGGCTTGAAAGAAGGTTTATTTGGCAACCAAGGGGAATCCCAAACTTGGATTGGCCTTCCATTCCCTACCTCGTACTTAGCCCCCAGTTTCAAAAACTCTCTAGCTCCTAATCAGCTCCTCCAAATCCAAGAATCCCCATTCTTGGGAATGACATCTAGCAATTTCTCCCTAAAGTACCTCCCTTTCATTACCTTGCTATATAGGAGATTTGGTTGGGTAATAATTCTCCATAGCTGCTTCACAAGTAATGCATCATTGAAGGCTATCAGGTTTCTAAAACCTATCCCCCCTCTATCATTAGGTTTTGCTAAATGGTCCCAGTTCAATTTTTCCCCACCAAAAACTACTACTTCCCTACAAATAGACACTGGTACTTTAAAACTTTAAAACAGTACATTGCATACGTAGGTAGAGCTTTTTGTACTTTACAGCACTGGTACTTTACAGCAATATTCATCCTTTTATTTTAAGAAAGATAGTAGTAGTTTATGCAACACATGTAACCTTGAATGAAAAATATAACATCTCCTGATCCCCTTGGTCCATTTGTTCTGCAGGTCCATAAAGATACTGATAGAACTTCCAAGTTTGTGGAGTCTGATACTGAAATTCCTAATGAGAATGAGGAGAGTGTTAAAAACGGCAATTCAAGATTGGCTGTGAAAAACCCGTGGAGCTGTGGGAAAATGAGATCATATATGTTGGCAGCATTTTCTGTTCCCCAAGGTTCAAATTATTTAAAAGGATATGCTGTCAGCATTTATGTAGTTATGATCCTGTCGGTCGTTTTTCTAGGGATGTGGGTATGCCCCAGGTCCCAATCTGCATCCTCTTCATAACAGACCTGTAAGTTATGCTCTTCAGAATTGATCATGTAACTATTATGTTAGCTTTATCAGGTGGTAGCAAATCCGCTTTCTTGCTTGGGGATAGTTTTTATTCATTCATGTACGACAAACTTTATCCAAAAGTTACTGTGGCATAATGTGAGAATGCGACATTCAAGTTCTCTTTAATGATAAATGGGAAGCAGTTTATTTGAATGTCACATTATAAATACTTACTTGCGTTGCATGGCTGTACATGAATGTGGGTGCAGCAAGTGATAGAAGAATAGACATTAGTTATGTAATATGGAAGTATGGGATGGGGTATTGTGTGGTAGGTGCACTAAGTCATTAACTAAAACGAAGGTGAGAGAGAGAAGAAGAGCATTAGGGCAGTGAAATGAGGTGCACAGATTTCAAGACAGAAAGAATATGCAACAATTCACCAACACTATACAAGACAACTCTTGTGGAGTGGACATCTCTGTAACACACACACACACACACACACACACTTGGCATGGAATCGGTTTTGGCCACCTCTACTCACCCACATCCTTCAGCCCAACAGCATTGTTCAACTACACCAAACATATACATTTTATTAAGCATCTTGGAAGGAATTTTTTCATAGCTTGATTTTCCATTTATTTA